ACCAGCTTCGTCTAAATTGTCAAGCAAACCTTTTGTCATTGCTCATGATGCGCATTAGTATTTACGTAGTGATGTTACAGATGAAATGCTTCATATACTAACGGAACATGACTATCGCTATCTCAGGCAAGAAGGAAAACTTGTAGAACTCTACCCAGATATTTACCTCCCACCGCCAGCACCACTAATACCATCTACAATCGTGTTGATTAGTCTTTCTCTCATTCATTCGGGAAGGCTCACTTACTCTTCCTCCTCCAAGCCTGCTGCTCATGAGGAAATATAGCACCAGCCTCATCGTAAGCCCTCTTGTTCATGTCATCCAAGAGAATGGCCGCTGCCCACTTGATCTCGACCATACGTTTCTCAGCATGATTTCTCTTGGATTCTGACATCGCACTATCGAGAGTCTTCTGATGAATCTTGTTCAGCACTCGTTGGGTAGTTTCGATGTCTTTGACTGGTGTGCGCCCTCTGTCGGGCAGCCCGATAAGTTCGTACGGATCTTTCCGCTTCTCTTCGTCGCTGTCGGAGTCGTCATCGTCGTCGTCAGAAACGAGCTGATTTTGTGGAATTGGGGAGGACCGCCGCGGTCTTTCACGTTCCGGTAGCATGCGTTGCTGGTTGTATGATTGACTATTCAAGTCGTTTGTTCGGCTTCTGGAGGCATCGAGCTGTCGCTGTCTTTCCTGATCGCGTCTCTCCTGATCGCGTCTCTCCTGATCCCGCCTCTCCTGATCTCGCCTCTCCTGATCCTGCCTCTCCTGATCTCGCCTCTCCTGATCCCGCTTCTCCTCCTCTCGCCTCTGCTGCTCCCTTTTCGCGGCTGCTTCCTGACGTGTTCGCTCAAACCTTCGTGCAGCATCAACCTTTTGCTGCTCTGTCCTCTCCGTCATCTCGCGCGTCTTACGGTCCAGTTCGTCTTGTCTGCTCTTCGCTTCGTCAATGCGCAGAATTGTGTCCTCTTTCAGATTGTTTTCAATCTTGTTCCTTTCGAATCTTTCCTCGGCCTGCTTCAACTTACGAGCCTTCTCCTCCGCTGCCTCAATCGTCTTCTTCGCTTCAGCTTCCAACCTGGCTCGCTCTTTCACTGCTAGTTCATCCTCGTACCTGTTCTTCAACTTCTCGTTGCGATCGTTTTCTTTGTTGAGTCGGTCGAGATGAAGCTCGTTTTTGTCTTGTTCGGAGGGCCATTGGATTTGAGCGGGCGCTGGGGCTACATGCGAGTGCACTACAACGTTCTGGGTGGGAGCTGAAGCTACATGTGAGTGCACTACGACGTTCTGGGTGGGAGCCTGGCCAATCATCGCTGGTGCTGGTATCTGCTGATTGATGAAGAAGTTCGGTTGAGGCAAGTTGAAAGAGTGATTCTGCTGCAGCTGCTGGAGGAAGGACTGCTGGTGCTGTCCAAGCTGAAGGAAAGCCCATCCGCCATGACTCCTGAACACCAGATCCACAATGTTCTGAGCGGTTTCCACCAAATCGTCAGCAAAGAACGAGAAGCCGAGGATGCTGTTGCTTCGTAAGGTTTCTATCTCTTCTAGTATGATATGAAAAGCCATGATCAGTTCATCGTCAGGGTAAGTTGCCAACCTAAAAATTGACATCGGGTGCGGACGATCCAGCACTTTACGGCGAAATCGGCCTGTAATATGGAAAGTGATCATGTCGCAAGATAAAAAAGGTAAATCGGGATATGAAAATGATGCGAGGAGGAAGATGATAGATAGCAATACAGGAAGTACGAGTGTGAGGGCATGCGCATAGAAAAGGACGGTTTTGTACTGCGGGCGTGCTTTTGGTGTGATGCCTAATCATGGAATCCCCAGGGCGGCTTCCAATACCCACGTTGTGTCGATGATTATGCATGTCAAGCGTCGGCCTGTGAAGATAAGATCATCCTCATACGTGTTTGCCGCAAACATCGCGGGCATTCCAGGTTGTGACGCGCCAGGCTCCGTGAGCTGCGCTCAATCTTCAAACTAGATATGGTGAAGCAACACCAGGTCGAAACATTCACAGATGCTGATGTAAAGAGCAGGGTAGGATCATTGGGGTTGTAGGAATTTGCAGCTTCTCCACCTAGGCACAACAGCCCTAGAGGAGAACGTGGGAGGATTAAATGCCGATGATGTCATTATTACCAAGCATCCCGACCTTGGAAGGTCCGCTCACACTTCACCACGATCGTCCATAATTATATCTAGGTAGCTATCAGCACGTTTGGGCACGAATTCAATGCCAGATGTACCTAAAATGTGGGCTTGTATCGTTCGAAGTTCTCGCGATGCCAACCCATGTAGGTGCTGATCGCTCGACAGCGCCATGGCATGTTGTGTCACAGCCGCCTGAGCCTGCACAGGTGCCTGACAGTTAAAAGGGCAAATACGAACACGCCATAGCTAAGATCAATTTCGTGTTTAATTCATCAAGCTACAGTTTCTCAACATCTCCATATGCGCAACAAATTCCGACTTCGGCATGCTCATCCTGCCCTCCTCCTAAACTAGGCGCTTTCCTCGTCCAATCACCCCAACCTGACGCCTCCTACTTGGCTCCATGCTCCGCCTTCCAAGCCGCATATTCTCTGTCGTCCTTCTCCTTCTCTGTCTCGGGGCGTAGTCCAAGGTAATTGCCGTATGGGCCAAATTCTTGAATCATATGTTTGTCTGGCAGCGCCGTCGGGGGCGGTAGAGGAGCTGGGGCTGGAGGAGGTACAAAGGTGATGTTTTGCTGTGGCGCTGGAATGGACTGGAAGGTGATGTTTTGCTGTGGAGCTGGAATGGTCTGGATGGTAACATTTGGCATTGGCGCTGTCTGTGTGATTGAGAGAGATGACGACATGCGTGGGAATGTGCCAAAGCTTCCAAAGCTTGAGCCCGGGAATATACCCACGGCATTGCTACCCCTTCGTTCAATGATGCGCAAAATTCTGTTCTTAGTCTCCTCCCAGCAAGGCCTTAACAGGTCTGCAAAGATGTTGTCAGACATTGAGACGGAGATTGCATTGAGAAGACCGACGAGCTCATCATCCGAGAGAGGGTTCAAGTGACGGTACGCCCAAGGATGGATGTGCAAAAAGGGGTCAGGTCCGCGCGATGATCGGAACATATCGAGTATGTATAAGTGGTGTTGTGAGAGGTTATACCGTGTGTTGCGAAGAGGACAAGTTGGCTTTGCTCAGGGTTGATAGAGATGCGCTTTGTAATTAACTAGAAAGTGTAGTGTTCGATAGAGAGAGTGCGTGTTCTAGCGAGGGGGTTTATATTCTAAACAGACATTGAATTTAGGGCTTTGGCACAACTCTCGATTGCCAGCATGCTGTATGAACGTGATCCTCAGAACGTGTCGCTATGCAGAATCACGATCACAACTTGACGTAGAGAGTGCGATCATTGTGAAGGAAACATTCCCTGTGCCGGCGTGTCATGATCTGTATGATGAACGAAGATGTCGGATTATCAACAACATACTTGTACTCACCCCACTGAGTGTATCTGTTTCGCGGCAACCTCGACGCATAATCTATCTACTAAACACTGATGTGCGTGTGGACGAGCACATGAGCGATAACATTCTAATCTCGCGATCAACATCAACCATTAGCTGCACTAGCACTAACAAGATAATTATAGAATGTAAAAAATCTGCACTGTTCAATATCATCAGTTATGGAATATGATCAATAAACTATCATCATCGTCATCATCATCCCCCAGCCTTCAGTCAAGATCATCCTCCGTACCAACTAGCCTTAATAACTATCACTATCACTATCACTATCACTGTCGTAATCAAAGAACCCTCGCCTTCCGAAGCTCCTAGGGCTTCTCACATACCCGATGCGTGGTGAGACAATCCCCCCAATCACAAAACCCTGCACCGGCGTAGATGTCATAGTCAGTGTAGCCACAGGAGCAGGAATGGTGAGCACCTGAGGCTGTTGTAGTTGCTGGTAGACCACATTCTGCTGTGCTGGCGGTTGCACGGGCGGCTGTTGTACTTGATGGTGGTAGATGACATTCTGCTGTGCGGGCTGTTGCGCGGGCGGCTGTTGTACTTGCTGATGAACAATGACATTTTGCTGAGGCGGCTGCTGAACTTGCATCTGTGTTTGGACTGGCGCTGGCGCTGACATCTGGATGTTGAGACTTCCAGCCCCTCCGCCTTCTCCGAGCATCACCGCGCCGTGCGCCCTAAGATGCTCTTCAATGATGCTAGCCGAACCCCGTAATGCCGCGTTATCCTCATAGAAGGGATCCCTCTGTATGTCGCGATAAATGTTGTTGTGTACCTCAAGAAGCCACTCCAAGCTCTGCTTCTCGATAAATGCCTTTGGCCAAGGGTGGTCGGGCATACACCAACCGCTTCCTCCACGCGCATCCCAGGAAGACATGGTAGGTAATTAGAGCGAATGTGTTATCGATTTGAGGTGGAAGTAAAGTGAGTTTCTTCGTCTGGTCAATCTGTCGTTGGCGAAGTAATGTCGGGGCTGGTAGAATAGTGAGAATAGAAGGAGGGAACAGAGTTTTATGCACTTCGTACCATACAAAATTCACAACCACCACTGAGGATCCTCGGTACGAAATTGATTCCACGCACGCCTGTTGTGACAAGATACCTCGTTCGCTGGCTGCCGGAATGATCTGGGAAACGTCATAAGGCGTACATGCCAATGATACACAGTTCACAAGCTACCAGCGACCATGTTGTCGACCGCAGTGATCAGCAATCAAGCACCTTCAGTCGACAGCTAGCGGAAACGTTGTGCGTTGAACAACGCGCATGTTGCCCGTGTTCCTGTCACGTCAGCGAACCTTCACAGTTTCGCGAATAACATACCTACTCAACCCAATCCCCGCTCTGCACTGTCCACGCCCTTCGACCACTGTTTCATACCTGATCCAAACATCAGGCTCCGTACCATAGGCCTGCCTCCATAACATAACAGCATAGCACAACAGCACGACACAGCACCATAACACTACCAACCAAGCACAATGTCAACCTCCCTAACCCTCAACGCCTTCACTCATCCCCACCCCTGGGCACCCACCACCATCCGGCTCTCGCCCACCCCATCTCTTGTCTCCGCCCAAGGTTCAATAACACACCAACTCTACATCCTAGACTGCCGCGGCCACGATGCACGCGACATGCAAAGAACGCTCAACTACATCACAGCCGAGCTGCGGATGCGAGAGATCGAAGACTTGGCTCTAGCAGAAGCCAGTCGCAAGATGGCGAACGCAGAAGGCAAATCCGACGGGAAGACTGATGAAGAGAACGGTAAAGATGGAAAGACAGGCCCTTGGATCAAGAAAAAGGATGGAGGTGCACGGATGCGGGAGATGGAAGATGAAGACAAGCGCTGGGAGAAGGAGAGTGGCGGGAACCCGCGGTGGGGCGAGGGTAGGACTGCGCATCTGTACGGCAAGTAAACATTCATGGCCATGGGACCGAGCACCTATGTAATGTTGAACTGGAAATGTATCGAGATCCTGCAATGCGCTATCAAGTAGTAATGTATATGATACATGTTGCGATCCAGTATTGCTTGGGTATCATACCTGTACGCCTGCAAATGCCCAAACTTTCGAGACGCTGTGTCTAATCAATCTTCCGCGTCTCCTCCGCCGCGCTCCATGCGCGCTCTGATGTCTCGCACTAGTGCTTTAGCATCTTCTACCTCTACACCGTCTTGACAGAGCTCGTTCGCCAGTTCCATGGCCCGTTGGTACATGCCGCGCATGTACTCCCACCGAGCGAGCCAGAGCCGGGCTTTGCTGGTTGTCGCAGTGACGCCGACACCACCGGCGGCTTCGGAACCCACTTCTTCGTAGTCTGGCCCTTCTTCTTGTGCAAGCACCAGTTCCATGTATGCCGCGCACTCATTCATGTTGTTTATCCTCTCGTACAGCAGAGCGATCTGGTAGAGTACCTCGGGGTCGAGGATACCGCCACCAAGACCAGTAACCTCACTACTGCCGAAAGAGGCACCCACACCGGCATCATAGTATGAGCCTGCAACTAATGCGCGTTTGTATGATCGAATGCCATTCATGATCTTGCCCACTTTGCCGAAACATTGGCCGACCGCCATCCATAGCTTCGGATCGTAGGGTCGTAGGGCAGCGGCGCGTTGGTGATAGAAAAGAGCGTATGAGTGCATCTCCAGCATTTCGTATGTCTGACCAAGTCCATACCAGGCGCGGTAGTCTTTCCGGTTGACGTCGACGGCGCGACGATATGATTCAATAGCGGCGTGGGTGTTCTTCATTTCCACGAACTCGTGGCCCATGAGCGTCCAAGCGGAAAGGAAGGTCCGGTCTAGAGTCAGAGCTCGCCGGAAGTACATGACGGCCTTCTCATGCTCCGACTTGAGCGAGTAGTAGTTTCCTACCACGCAACATGTCTCTGGTCGGAATTTGTCGGTCGCTGTGGCGAGCTGTGCCAAAAAGGCAAGCTTGGGTCGCATGCCCATGACATACAGGATGTTGGAATAATTGTCAAGATGATCGACCCGGTGTGGGTCTGATACTAGCAAGTCGGAAAAGATCTGTTCGGCGTCGTCGAAGTCTTTGTTGTGGTAGTGCAGCAATGCCCGTTGGGTCTTCAGAAAGGCCGACGATGGGAAGATGGTCAGTATTTGCGACAGCGAGGTGTGTATCTGTTCGTTGACTACGTAGAGCTCTTGCGATGAAGTGACGTGGAAGATGAAAGTCATGAGGTTCTGTGGTAGGCGTGTGACGATGCCGTTGAGCTCTTCCATGGTGGTCAGTAAACCTTGTAGCTCCTGCCACGCACCCCAGTTGTAGGTGTATTGGTGAACACTCTTGATCAGATAGTCGATAGCAAGCTGCTCGTTCTTTCCCTTGGCTAAGACCATGCCGTAGAGGTACTCCAGCCAGCCCTGCGGTTGCCGCCCGCTGTTGGGCAGGTCTTTGAACCACTCTTCAAGAACAGCAGATACTGTGGGCAGCTCCTTGTTCAAGGTGACGCCCCCATCTTGAGGGCCGAGAATCATCTCGCTATCCTCGTTCATGCGCTTCTCCCCTGCGATGTATTTTGCATACAGGGCAAGGAACAGCGCCTTCTGACTAATACCCTTCATCGTATCGTTGGACAGCTTGGACTTGGATGGCGTGACCATCTTCGCCTTCCCCTTGGCGCCTTGCTTCGCCTTTGCTGTAGGCGTAGCAGGTGCCTGTGAGGCGCCCTTGGGTAGAGGGCCAGGCAGGAAGACGGCGGCGCATCGATCATACTCGCGGCAGTCGAAATATGTCTTGGCGAGGAGGAACTTGTGCGTCTCACGTGATTCTAGGCGTGCTTCGATGGGGTCTTTGCGTACGAGATTGGGTGTCTGCGGCGGTTGCGCATCCGACATGGGGGAGTCGACGTCGGTGTCCGAGCCTTCGTCATCGGCCGATGGGAGCGAATCGAGTAATTCTGCGGCCCTTGTCAATATCAGCATGCAAAAGTCAGTCTACGTAACCATTGGTACTCACCATTTCGCCGAGTGATAGAGACAGCGCTCTGTGCAGCCGATGACGGCGTCCTGGAGCTGGGCCTTGAGTTGGGCCTCGTCGGCCGGCGATAGAGTTCCCATCGCGTCGCTTTCAGGAAGAGATTGCTATTTGCGCGCTTCAGATCATGGTTCAGGGCTCTATCGCGTGATGTCGCTGCCGCCGATGCGCGTGTTGATGGGGAGCTTCCTGTCGTGGTAGGGTGGGGCACAAACAATGGCCCGGCGAGCGGTTAAAGGTTGCGCCGCTGCGCCGCGGAAATTAGCCCCTTCACCGCCCGCACCCCTACATCTGCTACTGCCCCTCTATCTTGAACACTGTTCTCCAGAGATACCCAATTCACTGCGTTCAAGATGCCCACCACACTCAAAGAATTCGAGAGCGTATGGCCGCGCATTGTGGCCGATCTGCAGGAGCACTGCAAATCATACAAGCTGCCCCAGCAGTCTCTTGATTGGTTCACCAAGGTAGATATATCCCGAGCAACGCATCCAGGGTCCAGCTTGCTCACCATACTCCATAGTCGCTGGACTACAACACTGTTGGCGGAAAATGCAACCGTGGCATGTCTGTTATCGACACCACCTCAATTCTGCAGAACAAGTCTCTTGACCCATCCTCAGAAGAGTACTTCCGTGCTGCCCTGCTCGGATGGATGATCGAACTCCTCCAGGCTTTCTTCCTGGTTTCGGACGATATCATGGACTCTTCAAAAACCCGTCGTGGCAATCCCTGCTGGTACCTTGCACCCAAGGTCGGCATGATTGCCATCAACGACGCCTTCATGCTGGAGTCGGCCATTTACGTGCTTCTTAAGAAGCACTTCCGTCAGGAGAAGAGCTACGTCGATATGATGGAGTTGTTCCACGAGGTCACATTCCAGACTGAATGCGGTCAATTGTGTGATCTGTTGACTGCACCCGAAGACGATGTCAACCTTGACAACTTCAGTCTCGACAAGTTCACCTTCATTGTCATCTACAAGACTGCCTATTACTCTTTCTACCTCCCAGTCGCACTGGCACTCTACTATGCCGGCGCAGCTACACCAAAGAACCTCCAGACCGCAGAAGACATTCTCATCCCCATGGGCGAATACTTCCAAGCACAAGACGACTACCTCGATGCATTTGCTGACCCCACTGTTCTCGGCAAGATTGGCACCGACATCATGGACAACAAGTGCTCATGGCTGATCAACCAGGCCCTGAAGAAGGTCACTCCCGAGCAACGAAAGGTGCTAGAGGAGAACTACGGTCAGAAGGACTCGCAGAAGGAGGCCAAGGTCAAGGAGCTGTACCATGAGCTTAAGCTGAAGGAGTTCTACGAGCAGTGGGAAGAGGAGCGCGTTACCGAGCTGAGGGCGAAGATCGACAAGGTTGATGAGAGCGAAGGCTTGAAGAAGGTCGTCTTCGAGGTTTTCCTCCAGAAGATCTACAAGAGGAGCAAGTGAGCTGATGACTAATTATACCACATGAGGAAAAACCTCGAGTGCCTACAGGATTCAACGAACTGTTCGAATTACTATGTGGCTCACAACATCTTATTCACATTTGATCAACTAAATGCCATTGACACTATTGCCGCGCACAGCTAGTACTGGTCCAGACAGACAAATGACATGTTCAGAACGTTATTTGCGAGAATGTACCTTCAAACCCCAAAGAGCCATCGTATCGACAGAGACTGGAGTGGATGGTCGTGTGCATAAAGTGTACAGTGGATGTAGGAGTAGAATGGTCGAGCCATTGGCGTCTAGCAAGCCACGGGTACACACATAAAGTAGATATAACAGCTTGCAGTAAACTACCGTCGCAGGTGCCATTGGCGACGTGGGTGATGGACAAACTTGCACATCCAATGGCATCCACGTGAGCGAGTCACGCTAGGCGCGGGCCGGCAAAGTGGAGCGAGCCATCCCACCAGCTGTCGCGAGATCCAGTGACGCCGCGTCGCGCCTATGACCACGAACATTTCGTCACATTGCCATCAAAACAACAACACGTACGCCTCTCGTTCTCGCGCAGTCACACCTGACGAGCACTGCGATCTATGTTTATCTTCGCGCTAAGCGCAATCTGAAGGATGGTGGTACCTGATGGGGGCCGGATTCTGCGACTCAGGCGCCCTGTCAATCAAAGTGGCGTGGTTAACGATGCCCCGTCCCGTGTAAGCGACCCTACTGGAAGTACTCTTTCGTCTTCTGGTCTTTGTCACTCTACTGGGCCGGTATGTTTTCCAACTTTGCCAGTGCAATATCTGGTAATGCTCCAGAAAGAGCAAGCAAAGATGAGGGGGCCTCGCTCACCTCGGTCCTCGAGACACCCGCGCTACGCGTCGAACTGGCACTCCTCGTCCTTCTGAGCATCGATGCCATGCGAAACGACCTCACGGCCACCTTCGAGCCATACGACAATCCCGAACCGAAACCCTCCATTGCGACCCGGTCGCCCGCACCCAAGCCTGGAAATCAGGCACCAGATCTCATGAGCTTCGACCGGCCGAGACAGACCACGAAACCAGCACCTCCTACCAGGCAAACATCACAAGAACATGAGTCTACACAAATGCAGGCTTTGCGACGAAGCGCCTTGACATTCTTCGATAAATGGCGGGCAAGTGTCATGCATCGAATATGCGACGTCCTCTCTGTACGGGGTGAGACTGTCCGGCAGGCGAAAGTAAAGCGGAAGCACATACTGGACCAAGCCGACAGGCAAAACCAGGGCATCTCTTCGCTCATCGATTTCGACGACCTCGATCCCTTCGCAAACGCGGCTCCCACACGATCCAAGAACACAAGACATGGACACTATAAGGTGATCGAGACTAGGCTCCTAGCTCTTGAGGAAGATAAGCGTGTGCTGGTTTTACACTGCCTCCTGCTGCTCCTACTGAGCTTGGAGCAATACTCGGCATACTCGCGCATCTTATTGCTACGTCTGGCAAGCAGTCTTAAACTAGAGGCTGATTTGCTGGGCGAGCATGAGAAGTCGATTGCACAAGGTCTGCTAGCCACGGCTGCCTCTCAGATGGACGCCGAAGCGACAGCCAAGAACCAAGCGTCAAATGATGCTGTGTCACGCCGTTGGAAGGTTGGTCTCGCGACCGTGGGCGGTGCGGTCCTGATTGGTGTTACTGGCGGTCTTGCTGCGCCTCTGCTAGCCGCAGGTTTGGGTACTGTCATGGGCGGACTAGGCCTGGGAGTCGTTTCAACATATCTTGGTGCATTGGCGGGCAGCTCGGTGCTCGTTGGATCACTGTTTGGAGCCTACGGCGCGAAGATGACAGGGCGTCTCATGGATCAGTATGCAAAAGAGGTTCAAGATTTCGAATTTCTCCCAGTTCAGGGTATGTCAAGCAGAGATTAAGTCTTGCTTGAAGCTAACTATGCCAGATCCCGATCGACCGACGAATCAACGCGAGCTCGACTGGGCTGATGAGCAAGACGCGCGTGACCCACAGAAACGTGAACAGCATCGATTGCGCGTATCCATTGGTGTCAGTGGCTGGCTAAGCTCCCCATCCGACGTCAGCAAGCCTTGGGAGGTGGTCGCCTCCGGTACAACTGAGCCATTCGCTTTGCGTTTCGAGCTTGATGCCATGCTGCGTCTCGGCAACTCCCTCAATGACGTACTCTTTGGATATGCCTTCGACGGCGTCACCTACACTGTTGTCAGTCGCACGCTTCTTGGCGCTTTGTACGCAGGTCTGTGGCCTCTTGGTCTTGTCAAAGCTGCCAGTGTCTTGGACAACCCCTTTCTTGTTGCACTCGCACGAGCCGACAAGGCTGGCAAGGTTCTTGCGCATGCTCTCATCGATGGTGTACAAGGGAAGCGACCTGTCACGCTTACAGGTTATTCAGTAGGTGCGCGTGTCGTATACGCGTGTCTGATCGAGCTTGCGGAACAACACGCGTTCGGTCTTGTTGAGTCTGCTGTTCTTATGGGCACTCCTGCCCCTGCAAACAGCAAGCGTTGGAGGCAAATACGGTCAGTCGTTGCGGGACGCGTTGTCAATGTTCACAGTACGGAAGATTATGTACTCGGCTTCCTCTATCGATCTGCCAAGCTTCAGGTAGGTGTCGCTGGTCTACAAAAGATCGAACATGTCCATGGCGTGGAGAATTTCGATGTAAGCAAGCTTGTCGGTGGCCACGACCAGTATCGATACTTGGTCGGCACGATACTGGTCAAAATCGGCCTCGGCGATGTCGACTTCAACAAGGTAGCTGAGCAAGAACGCGCTCTCGAAGAGGCGGAAAGGCGAAAGAAACAGGCTCAAAAGGAGGCTAAGCGTAAGGCAACTACTGAGCAAACAAAGGAGCCTGTCGCCAGGCCTCAGCCCCGAAGTCGACCGGTTGCTGCGGCTCACGACTCTTCGAACTCTCTGATAGATCTTACAGAGCCAGAGCCGACCAAAGCTCCAGCGTCCAACAGCGATCTATCGGGTCTTTCCTTCACCTCCACTGGTGTATCCGCAACTCAGCTCCCCCCTTCGAACGTCAAATCATCCACCCCGGCTCTGCATAAAACACCTATGGAAGAATCCAAGGGCTTTCCTGATACCACTACGAGATCGTTCCCAGAACCACACGATCTATCAAGCCCCGAGAACTCGGCTGTCCGGCTGCAGAAGAAAGGGACCGAAGTCGCAGTTACCGAGGTTCTTGTCTTGGAAGGCAGTGATACTGCTAAGGACAAGAGTATTGATAACGAGCATGATGACGAGTTTGACGACTTCGACTATGATGCCGAAGAAGTTAGTAGCGAGTTTGGAGAACTCAGCATGGTGGAGCCGCTGCCTATGGACGACTTCGATTATGGGTTGATGTAAGGGCGCATGGACCAATTACATCTTCTTGATACCTCGCAAGGTCAGCCCAACCTGACTAGTGCCCGCTTGATGGTACGCCTCGATTATGCACGTTCCTTGTATGACGGCTTACATGTAAGGCACCAGCTTTTCTTTCAAAGAACCAAGACACGCTTCTCAAGCCTCGGATGATAAGCCGGATTAGTGAACGCGTTACGCGCGTAACGGTATAAAGTCATATGTCTACAATCAAGTTCAGGAAATCTTCTTGCACCCCAGTTTAAATTGATCAGTGAGAGCAGTCATTGTGACAGAAACACCAACCATCTTGCTGACTTTAACCCATCCATCATGTTATTAGCAACATATCCTACACCCACATCACCGTCCCTATCCTTCTCTAAACTCGGACCGCGGATATCTCTCTATACCCCACCATCACACACCACTGGCGAACTCATCATCCTATGCACATGGCTCGGCGCCGCCCGAAAGCACATCGACAAATACATCGCCGCCTACCGTACCATCGCACCCAATGCCAAAATCCTACTCATCCAAAGCGACGTAACATCCGTCACAAGCTCCTACCCAGCACAACACAAAGCCATCATACCAGCCGTCGAAGTCGTGCGCTCTGTACTGAGTGACTGCACTTACACACCATCTCCAACAGTAAACACCACCAAAACGCACCCAACCCCCAAAATCCTCGTCCACACCTTCTCAAATGGCGGCCCCATCTCCGCCACCGCCCTTCTCCTCGCCCTTCATACCCAGACCTCCACACCCTTACCCATCACCGGTATCATCATGGACTCTGGTCCCGCGGCAGGATACTACTGGAAATCATACAACGCTATGATTCTATCTCTCCCACCAGGCCCCATCCGCTCAGCAGGCTACGTTTTCGTCCATGGTATCTTGATCATCTTGCGGGCGAGTGTGGCGTTGGGACGGTACGAGCACCCTGAGGTACTGGTTCGTCGGACGCTGTTGGATGAGGAGTTCGTTTCTGGGGCGGAGAAGGGGAAGAAGAGGACGGTGTGTTATTTGTATAGCAAGGCTGATCAGATGACGGATTGGGAGGATGTTGTTGCGCATAAGGAAATGGCGAGGGAGAAGGGGTGGGATGTGGGAGAGGTGGTGTTTGAGGGGACGCCGCATTGTGGGCATTTTGTGGGGAACGAGGGTGTTTATGTTGGGGAAATGAGGAGGATGTGGGAGGGTAGGACGTTTGAACAGTAAGGATCTTCTGATTTGCTGGTTGATTTGGAGGGACAAGTCGCTATACGAGAAATCCGTTGCTGGCTTCGCGCTCATTATCTTGTTGATCATGACTCTGGTACTTCATCGGCCCATGGTATACTCGACTGTGCTCCCGCTTTCTGCACTGTCATTGATGCCGCTCTATTGGCATGCGCAATTGCAGCATCGAGATCAAAGTCTGCTCCCCTTGACATTGCTTTCCAACGCGCGACAGCAACTGTGTAGGCGCCTGCAAACGTGTCGCCTGCGGCTGTTGTGTCGACAACCTTGACTTTGCGTGCCGGCACAACATGACCTTGCTGAGTCGACTCCTGTTGCTTTGCCGTCTTGTAGAACACGCCCTGGACACTCAAGTAAGTACGAGTCAGA